AAAAAAAACTGAAGCTAATACAGTGGATGAGCCCCAGAGAATGTGGCAGAGAAAATAAAATGACTTTAAGAACCTCTGTGGATACTGAAGCACAGAGATGCAAGTAATTAGAACAGGGCAGGGCTTCTAGAGAGATGGGGAGAGAAATCTTGGAGATATGGGTCACAGAAGGTCAGTGACTAAGTTCTGTGAATAAGAACATATATTTTTATTTCTTCCAGAAAGGTTGTGTATGAGAGGGAAAGTCATGTTTATTCAAACAGAAAACTAGACAATTCCAAGAACGAAATGAATGGCAACACTAAACACATCTATATTTTCTGAGTGTTTCATTTTTAAGGTAAGTCCTTCTTTGTTGTGGGAGTAACTTCTGCTGCCTCAATCAATAGTCGCTGAAATACGAGCCCACAGTGCAGTGGGGAGCGACTTCCGCTCCGTCAGCCAATAGCTGCTGAAATACCAGCCCACTGGGGCGTGGTATATTTCTCTTTTAAAAAGAGAAGCATATCCGGAATAGGCCCTCTTGGTTCCGGCTCTTGGTTCCGGTGCTTGCTCCTGGCTCCTGCTCCCGGCTCCTGCGACTAGGCTCCCTTCCTGACGGTTTATGGTGTATGTAAGTTTTACCCCCCAAAATAAATAACCCCTTAAAACATAACTGGTGTGGGATTGATTCGCCGATACTTCTTTACGAATGAAGTTTAGTATCATAATCTTCCCCGCTCCATCTATTGACCAAATATCTGTTGAATTTATACATAGGGGCTCTCAAATATTTTGATATTTTTAAAACCTTACTTTTAACTTTATAGAAGGGCTCTTCTGTATTTATTCTGTGCAAAGAAAGAAAGAAATCAAGAGAGAAGTCCCCTGAGAACTGAGACAATAATAAAAACAATGCCAGTGGAATAAGATCTAGAAAAGCCCACTGGCAAAACTCAAAAGATATAGGTCACTGACAGATATGGACTTGAGCAAAATGGCAAGAAGCAAACTCATATACTAATTGGTCACTCTTCTCATCCCCAGTGCAAAATACCAGGCAGAAGCAGTCTAAGTGAGGAAGAGATAGGTTGACTTAGTTTCAGAGGTTCAGTCTGTCATGGTTGGGAGGGTATGACAGAACACAATTCTTCACTTCCCAGCAGCCAAGAGGCAGGGATCCTAGTGAGCCTTCTTGACCATTCCACTCTGGCAGGCCCTTAGCAGATCGACTGGTGGTGTCACTCAAATTCAGAGCTTCTTCCTCATCCAGCTAATTAGTCCTCTCAGAATATGCCACTGTAGATACACCCACAAGGATGCTTCATTAGATGACTCTAAATCAAGTTGGGCTGACTGACAGGGAGCACTAACCAACACATGTAAAACCTAGGACTGCCTCTCTTCAACAAAGAACCTGGAAAGAGAAGATGAAGATACTTGATTGCTGGGGGAGGCTGTTTTTTCATTTCCTGGCCACCCTGACTCAAAATAATCACACAGAAACTATATTATTTAAATCACTGCTTGACCAATCACTTAAGTGTATTGCTAGCTAGTTCTTATATCTTAAATTAACACCTTTCTATTATTTTATATTTTACCATGAGGTTTGTGACCTACTGGAAAAGTTCCAGCTAGTGGCTCACATCTTTCTCCTCTGGTGGTTACATGGCCTCTCTGACTCCACCTACTCTCTCTCTATATATATCTCTTTCAGTCTGGCTTTAGTCTGTTAAGCCATTGGCTGAAAGTAGCTTTTTTCATTAGCCAATAAAAGCAAAACATAGACAGAAGGACTTCCCACACCACTTGATTAGGCAAATAAGTCGACTGCATTTTATCTTTCGAAGCAAAAGGCTCCACGTAGACATACAACATTGACGAGCAGGTTGGGAAGAACTCTGGGCCCCAGTCTTTAGGTATCCAGTTGCCAAGCGTTTAGCAGGAAGAAATTCAGCTTCACTTTCTTGATCAGTTCCAATTCATATGTAATTAACCCTTAATAAACTTTCTCAATTGACCCAGCCCAAATACCTGTGGGTTAAAAACTCTTGTTGCATAATTGAACTAACTTCTCAGTGGTCATCAAGTCTTCCCGGGGGCTAAATGATGTGTACCTGATACACCTGGTTGAGCCAAATTCTACAAAATTTTACATTCTGCGTGTAGAAATTTTATGGGCTTTTCCTACCGTTATGAGCCTTCTGATCCACAAGACTTTTTTAAATATCAAGTATCTAACTGTTTCTAGTTCCCTGCTGGATTATTAGGACTTGTACAGAACGGTCCAGTACCCAGGTCACCAGGTTGTCTCAAACAACAAGAGTCATAAAGAATTCTGTTCAGGCACCCTCTCCTCTGTCCAGAGAACAATCTGGGGATCTCTCCTTGGACCTGGAATCCCATTTACAGTCAAGTCTCTAGTAAACCCTAAACTGACTTCCATAGTTGAGATATATTCTTCCCTGAACCCATATCTATCCTTCCTCCCTGCCCCACTCCCAGTACCCCGAGCATTTCCCATTCCTCCCCTGCTCCCTTCTCTCTAACCTCCTTCCTTGGACAGAGGAGAGGGTGCCTGAACTGGCCTTGGCCCATAACCATACTGATGAATATTTTGCTTATCACCATAGATCCTTTATCTGGCAATAGATGGAGATAGAGACGGGGACCCACGTTGGAACACTGGACTTAACATCCTAGGTCCAACCGAGAAGCAGAAGGAAGAAGAACGTGAGCAGGGAGGGCAAGATCAGAGGGAACCTTCATCCGGCGATGGATGGCGATGCAGACGGAGACCCACATTGGAGCACCGGACTGAGCCCCCCAAGGTCCAAAGGAGGAGCAGAAGGAGGAAGAACATGAAAAAGGAAATCAGAACCGCAAGGGGAGTGATCACCCACTGATACAAGGCGACTGATCTAATGAGAGTTCACCAAGGCCAGTTGACTGGGACTGAAGGAGCGCTTGATCCAACCAGATTCTCTGGAGGAGGCTGGATTCTCTGAATGTGGCTGGCCCGAAGTCTTTCTAAAAAGCCATTGACAATGACTCTGGGACTTGTTTCCTCTGCATATTCTGGATTTTTGGGGATCCAGTCTGATTAGATACTCACCTTCCTGGTCCTGGAGGGAGCGGGGAGGAACTTGAACTACCCACGGGGCAGGAAACCCTGACTGCTCTTAGGGATGGAGAGGGAAGAGGAGAGGGAGTGGGGGGAGTGGGAGGGTGTTGGGAGGAGGGGCGAAAATGGAAACTTTTATATTTTAATAAACTTTTTTTTTAAAAAAAGAATTCTGTTAATCGCTATTCTTTCTTAAAATACTTTTATGAAGTTGGGCATGCTGGCAAATGCTTTTAATCCTAGCAGTCCTAGGACAAAGACAGGAGGATCTCTGTGATCCTCCTAGTCCAAAGCCAGCCTAGTCTACATATGAAATCCAAAACAGCCAGAGCTCCATTGAGAGTCCTTGCCTCAAGACTGAAAAAGATTATCAAGTGCTCGGAAGAGCCTTCCAAATTACTAGTGACAACATTAGTCATTTGAGAAAGGTGAAAGGGCAAACATTCTGAATAGGTGAATTAATAAAGAGCAAAGCAAACAGGGCTTTATACCCAAACCCGTGTCTTTTAAGTCTTTCACAACCCATTTCAGTGTACAAAAAAAAAAAAAGAAAACAAAAAAAAAAAAACCTAGAAACATAATTCCTAGGGGATGGATGAGCATTCTCTAAACCTTTATGCTACACTTGAATTACAGCTATTAATAGTGAGATCACGGAAGCGTGAGTAAGACATTCCAACTTGTTAATGTTCTCCCAGTTGGTGAATTCACAGCCTGAAGTTCCTGGATACACTGTAACTTTCCATTAATAGCGAAGAAAAAGGTCCTTTAAAAAAAAATTTCTAGGAAGTAGGGTCTTGAAATACTTTAACCCTAACAGAGGTCAGTTCCGTTGTTACTAATTACCCTGCCTCTCTTCCCCTTTTCATCTCTGGTTCTCTGAGCAAGAACTCAAATACTGTCCTCTATTTCTCCACATCTCTAGGGCCGGATGTGGCTTGGTGAAGATTATGCCAGGGATTCAAAAAGCATAAAAAAATGTAGAAGTCATTACTGCTTCTAATTTTTGTTTGTTTGTGTTTTTAATTGTATCACTGACCACCATTTCTCATGCTAACTTTCTATTGAGAGTTAGTGGCTTCACCCTGTTCACAATTTCATTCCCTCTCTCCTTGCCCATTAATGAGTCATAGAAGTTCCCTTGAACTTAGTGGAAAGCAGAAAGGAAACAGTAAAAGGATAAGAGGAGTAGGGGCTGGAGAAATGGTTCAGCAGGTAAAAGGACTTGCTCCACAAACATGAGTACCTGACTTTAGATCCCCAGAAAACACGTGCACATGCTCACACAAGTGTTTCATCACCTACCTGCACCAAGAACCTCAAGGTAGATATTTAGCTATTCCTTTACAAAGAAATTACTGATCACCTGAATCTTTATAAACCAAGTCTTCTAAAAGGCAGTCACAAACTTTTATTCAATTTTAAATCTGAATTGTTTTCTCAACGAAAGAAGTGGTTTTAAAGATAATCTATGTTTAAACTTAAACATGTTTAAACTTAAAAAATTATTCATCTGTTCATCCCATGAGGAATCTCTAGTTCAAACTTAAAAACAAAACAAAACAAAAACAAACAAAGAAAAATGTATTTTTTCAGAGTTACATTGAGACTGGTACTGAGATGAACTGAGACAGTGACAGACTGGAAGGCAGAACTTTCCCATTTCACTTGTGCTCCAGTTCCCAATGAATTGAGTCACAGTGCAACATGAAAGCGGGGGGGGCAAGCAGATTGGCCACTGTGGAGGCTAAAAGAATCCTACAAAGGAACAGAATGAAAAAGACTAAACCCAACCTATGTGTCTTCCATAAGTTACTCACCATAACTCTTACATATACTCATATAAAACTGCAATGGGACCACCATAAACAATCCAATCACAAAAGTTTTCCAGTGGTAAGACATAATTTATTTATTAAAAATAAACCAAAAGAGGCATTTTTTTCATGGTGGGAACATTGCAAGCAACTTGAAAGCTGGCAAGAATTAGAAGAGTATTCTGAGAACAGTAGACCAGAGTTGAAAACTACCTACAATGCATGATTTCCAAGGGAAATTTAAATTATTATGAGAAGGTAGACAAAAGACAAAGATGGCTTGAGTTCCAATGGTCAGGCTTTCTTGTCTCTCTATCGGATTTAGCTAAGAAAAAGAACTGCTCTGTAACATCGTATGCTTTACAGTAGTTAGAAAATTTACAAAATTTACAAGAGTTCCTCTATGAGGTAACAAAGAGTCTCATCCTTCTCCTTCTCCTCCTGCTCCTGCTCCTCCTCCTCCTCCTTCTTTTAATACACAGTCTCTCACTGACCTGGAACCTACCAAGTAGTCTAGGGTAACTGCCTAACAAATTCTAGGGATCCTCTAATCTCCGTGACCTCAGTGCTAGGATTATAAATCCTTGGCACCATGCCCAGCTGCTTGCTTGTTTGTTTGTCTGTTTCATTTACAATCATTCCAATATTTATGCTTGCAGGAGAAGTGCTCTGCCAAATTACCAGTAAGTTATGCTCCCAGGCCAGGAACCTTATTTAAAAAGGAAAGAGTTGCATATACTTCTTCCTCTTTTTCTATCTACCATGGTTGATATTTCTACATCTTGAAAACCACAGCAACGGGGTTTACAAGTGAAGCGAGGTGGTGGTAATAAATGCCAGTTCTTTAGGAGAAACAAGTATTCAAGTTGTTTAACTGATCTGATTGCATTCTAACGGCTCTGGAAGTTTCTATGTCAAACAAGAGCTTGTCCTTCTGATCAGTGAAGCTACTTGAGGAGAGATGGAAGAGACGTGGGGAACGTGCCATATCCTTTGTGCAGGAGGAGAAGTGTGCTGACTAGAGTTAGCTTGACACGAGATGGAGTCATTTAGAAAGAAGTCTCAATTGAGACAACGCTTCTTTAAGATCAAACTGTAGGCACGTCTGTACCGCACTTTCTTAGTGAATAGTGAGGGAAGACTCAGGCTATTGTGAATACATTGTGCTACTCCCGGGCTGGTCTTCCTGGTGCTATAAAAACGCAGGCTGAGCAAGCCAGTAAGCAGCACTCCTCCCTGTCCTTTTCCTCAATTCCTGACTTCAGATTCCTGCCTTTAGTGCTTATACTGACTTGTTTGGATGATAATAGACTTTGACTCAAGACACAGAAGATAAAGCAAACCCATTCATCCCCAAGTTCCTTTTGTTATTGGTATTTTATCAAAGCAATAGAAACCCCAACTATGCCAGGAGGTGGAGAGAAAAGTTTTGCATTGGTTACTTTTTAATTGCTGTGGTAAAATGCCATGACCAAAGAAACATAGAGAAGAAAAGTTCATTTGAGCTTATAGTTCTAGAGGAATAAGAACCCAGAAGGAGTGAAGCATGGCAACGGAAGCAGGAAGCATTGGGTTTACATCTGGAACCGTAAGCTCAAGGCAGAAAGGGCATGAGACTTTGAAATCTCAAAGCCAACCCCCCCAGCATTACACTTTCTCCAACAACATCATGATTTCATAATTCCTGGACTTCTCCAACCTGTGCCACCAGTGGAGAACCAAGTGCTCAAATGCCAGGGTCTATGAGGGACATTCTCATTCAAACCATCAAAAACTCCAGCGGAGAGTTCACTTCACTTATAATCTGGGATATCTGACCTGAAAATTGAAAAAAGAAAAACCATACCTCATAAACACTAAAAGGACGAAATGAACCATGATGAAAGACTTAAAAGTAAGATTCTAGGCAACTGTATCAATATACTTCTAAAATTAAGACTTTTAAGTATACTAAGAATCTCTACCAGGAATTTAAATATGTGAACCGATTCTCTCAGCAACGCTATAAAATGGATACTGTTATTTTTCTGTTTTGCAAATGAGAACATGGGACCAAAATACTAGTAATATGTACAAAGTTGCATAGTTAATTTTGAACCCAGACAATAGGCTATGAGCAGAGGATTAAATTTGAAGCTGATATAGCTTATATAAGGAGATCTCATTTCCACGAACTGTTCAAAGTCTTAAGTGGGACACTAATAATATCCTTACATGTTCAAGTGTTTTTGTAAAACCTGCAAAACAGTCTTAACCAAATGATTTAAGACTATTTTCCCTCCTTCTGATCCCTCATTTTCCAACTTCATTTCTCATTACCCAACTTCAAATCTCTCATATTTACATTGCCATTAGAGTTAGAGAAGTCTTGTCATTTCTAAAATATAGAAAAGAATAGGTTGAGTTGATGGTGTCCTTAGTTTGGGCTTATTGAGATCCAGCCCTGTGGTTTACAGTCAATCTCCTACTTGGCCTAGTAATTACCGAAGAGATTGTACAGGATCCTGGAGGTAGGGACTGGACCCAAACATTTGTCCACTTGTGATGCTACATTGCTTTTCATATACTTAGCTGTCCATAAACAAGTCATTAATTCCTTGATTTAAAACCTCTGAAAACAATTGATATGATTGTGTAAGTCCTACATTGTTCTTGTAAATCATTCTAGTTCTCACAGTCACTCCATCTCTTTCCATCCCCAGAGCTCTTTAGATGTGTGCCTTCTCCTTAAGTAACTGCTCAGCATTTAGGGAAATGCAAATCAAAACAACTCTGAGATACCATCTTATACCTGTCAGATATACTAACATAGAAAACACTAATTGCAGCTTATGTTGGAGAAGGTGTGGAGTAAGTTGAACACACTTCCATTGCTGGTGGGAATGAAAACTTTTGCAGTCACTTTGGAAATTAGTGTGTCGGTTTCTCAGACTCAACCCACCTCAAGGCCCAGCAATACCGCCCTTGGGTATATACCTGTTGATAGAAGTTTCTGTTTCACCTAGTCCCTCAGCCATTCAGTCCCAAAGAAACACACAGAAGTTTGCATTCGTTATAAACTGGTTGGCCTATTACCTCAGGCTTCTTATTAACTTTTATAACTTACAATAGTCCATAATTCTCATCTGTGTTAGCCATGTGGCTTGGTACCTTTTATCAGTGAGGCATTCTCACCTTGCTTCTTCTGTGTCTGGGTGAAGACTGTAGACTTTCCTCTTCCCAGAATTCTCCTGTTCTGGTTGCCCTGCCTATGCTGCCTGCCTGGCTACTGGCCAATCAGCATTCTATTAAACCAGTCAATTGACAAATCTTTACAGGGAACAAGACCATTGTTTCACAGAACCCCCCACCCACACACCTTTTTTTCCAAAACAAGAACTCTGAATCTAATCTTCTTTGTTTAGCTTTCTTTCTGACCATTGTCCATAATGACTTATAACCAACACTCTGAACTAAGAAAAATATCCATAATTCATTTTTTTGGAAATGTGGGTTTAGTTTTCCAGGCTGATTGGGGACACTGATAATCTTATGGGAACTTAAAGAAAATTTAGGATTATGGTCAAGTCCTGACTAGAATATTCTGTGAGGCTCGATCATTTCAGCCAGAAATCTTGAGGCTATTCTGGATATAGAACTCAGAGGAAACTCCAACAGAAATCCTCTAAAATGTTGGATCATCGATGCCATCCGTTCCCACTGGAGATTTTAAAGGGAGTCTTCCTTGATCAAACCTGATTTTTCTTAACCCAGAATAAATCCACAACCCCTCATTTCCTGTGGAAACAAAAGCAAAGCCTCTTCTCCAAAGTAGCATATCTTTTGACTTAAATTTTGAAGTCAAGACACTTTCAAAATATATATGTTGGATTAATCCATCAGTATTTATCATCAAATATCTTAATGTAGCTGTTGCTCTTTTCCTGAGCCATCAAACAATTCAAAGACAACACAATAATATACAGTGTCCAGATTCTCTGTGTATTTTTCATCTTTATATGGTTTCATTTAAAACTCTATTTCTTTTATTTTTATTTTTAATTTTTGTTTTTTTTTCTTTTGAGGCAGGGTTTCTCTGTGTATTTTTGGCTGTCCTGAAACTCACTCTGTAAACCAGGCTGTACTTGCACTCACAGAGCTCCACCTACCTCTGCCTCCCAAGTGCTGAGATTAAAGTTGTGTGCCACCACACCCAACTACTCTCTTTCTTTCTTTTTTTTTTAAGGACTTTCCCCAATCAGCAGGAAGTATCCTGGAAAACTACACCCACATTTCCAAAGAAATGGATTGTGGATATTTTTCTTTGTTTAGAGTATTGGTTATAAGTGGTTATGGATAATAGTTAGGAAGAAAGCTAAACAAAAAAGATTAGATTCAGAGTTCTTGTTTCAAAAATACAAAGTTGGGGGGGAGGAGTGCTGTAGAACAATGGTCTTGTTCCCTATAAAGATTTGTCAGTTGTACTGGTTTAATAAAATGCTGATTGGCCAGTAGCCAGGCAGGCAGCATAGGCAGGACAAGCAGAACAGGAGAATTCTGGGAGAAGGAAAGACTCAGTCTGCAGTCTTCACCCAGACACAGAGGAAGCAAGGTGAGAATGCCTCACTGATAAAAGGTACCAAGCCATGTGGCAAACATAGATAAGAATTATGGATTAATGTAAATATATAAGAGTTTATAAGAAACCTGAGGTAATAGGCCAACCAGTTTATAATGAATGTAAACCTCTGTGTGTTTCTTTGGGATTGAATGGCTGTAGGATTAGGCAGGACAGAAACCTCTGTCAACATATACCCAAGGGGTGCACACTTATCCTACATGGACATTTGTTCAACTATGTTGTAAGGAGGGTGCTTGTTCATTTTCTTGGCTACCCAGACTCCCAAAATAATCACCCAGAAACTATATTATTTAAATTGCTGCTTGGCCTATTAGCTCTAGCTTCTTATTGGCTTACACTTACACCTTAATTTAACCCATTCTAGTAATCTATGTATTGCCACATGGCTGTGAATCACCAGGTAAAGTTCCCAGCATCTGCCTCTGGTGGAAATGCATGGCTTCTCCTTAATTCTACCTACTTTCCCCAGCATTCAGTTTAGTTCTCCCCACCTATTTACCCTATCAGGGCAAGACAGTTTCCTTATTAACCAAAGGTACTTACAGCATACAGAAGGGAATCCCACATCACAACTATGCTCACAGCAGTATTATTCACAATTTTCAGAACCTGGAAAGAATGTAGATGCCTCTCAACCAAAGAATGAATAAAGAAAATGTGATATATTCACATAATGGAGTACTACACAGCAGAAGAAAAAAACAAAAAAACAAAAAGAGCGGCATCTAGAAATTTGCAGGCAAACAGATGGATCTAGAAAAAGAAAACATTCTAGGTGAGGTAACCCAGATACAGAAAGACAAACACCATATGGACTCACTCATAAGGGGATATCAGGTATAAAGCAAAGGATAATCAGCCTGTAGTTCACAACCCCAGAGAAGACAGGAAACAAAGAGAACACTAAAAGAGACATACATGAATCCCCTCAGGAAGGGGAAGTAGATAAGATCTCCTTAGTAAATTGTCAGTATCAGCATTGGGGGAGGAAGGAGGTTGGGAGGAATGTGAGGAGGAAAGAAGGGAAGGAAAGAGGAGAATGTGAGGGATTGGGAAGTTTGAGTTGGGTGAAGCAAGGAAAGAGATACCTTGAAAGAGGGAGCCATTATAGGGTTAGCAAGAAACCAGGCATTAGGGAAATTCCCAGAAATTCACAAGGATGATCCCAGCTAAGATTCTAAGCAGTAGTGGAGAGGGTACCTTAACTGCCCTTCCCCTGTAATCAGATTGATGATTACCTTAATTGTCATCATAGAATCTTCATCCAGATGGAAGCAGTTGCAAAGATACACAGTTTAGCACTGGACTGAATTCCTGAAGTTCAGTCATAGAAAGAGAGGCATTGTAGGAGTCCATTTGTTTGTTCCTAGCTACTCAGCCCTGAAATAATTACACAAAAGCTATATTATTTGCAATACTGTTTGGCTAATAGCTTAAGTGTATTTCTGGCTAACACATATCTTAAAATAACCCATCTCTATTAATTTGTGTATTGCCATGAGGCTGTGGCTTACCTGGTAAAAAGTTCCAGTGCCTGTCTCCGGTGGGGCTACATGGCTTCTCCTCCACTCTGCCTCCTTTTTTTCAGCATTCAGTTTAGTTTTACTTACCTAGCTAGCCCTACTCTACTTTATCACAGGCCTAAGGCAGTTTCTTTATTAACCAATGGTATTCACAGCATATAGAGGGGAATTCCACATCAGAGAAGAGCAATATTATGAGCAAAGAACCCAAGACCATGATGGGTTAACCCACAGAAACAGCTGACCCAAACAAGCTCACTGACTTTGGACTGACAGTGGGAAAACATGCATAAGACCAAACTAGGCCCTCTGAATGTGGGTGACAGTTGTGTGGTTTGGGCAGTCTGTGGGACCACTAGCAATGGAACCAGCATTTGTCCCTAGTACATAAACTGGGTCTTTGGAATCCATTCCCTTTGGAGGTATACCTTGCTCAGCCTAGATGGGGGGGAGGGCTTGATCCTGCCTCAAGTGATGTGATAGACTCTGTTCATTCCCCATGGAAGGCCTTACACTCCCTGAGAAGTAGATGGGGGGTAAAGTGGGGAAAAGGTTGGGGGAGCAGGAGGATGGGAATGAGAGGGAACTAGGATTGGTATATAAAATAATACTGTTTTAAATATAAAAAAGAAAATAAATAAAAGTATATCATCTGGAAAAAAAAAGAAGTGTACCTTCCTGGGGTGATCAAACTAAGGATGATGGGAAGGAGAAGGTCAGAATCATGAGTTGCCAGCCAGATGCAGAGGGAGCGGGAGATGAACATGCCATGTGGCAGAGAGTAAATAAGGAACATGGGTTAACTAAGAGCTAGTTAATAATTAGTCTTGGCTATTGGCTGAGCATTTATAATTCATATTTTAAAAAGAAAAGCAGTGTGCCTTCCTTTACTGCGCCACACCCTTGGCTCATGCATAGGCTCTTATTAATTAATTGCTAAGTGGACACAGAAGTCTAACATGAGTTCAGGTAAGAAATTTCTAATAGACCTCCATGTGTATCAATTACAAACTGTTAGTGGGTTTTGGCAATTCAAGGATTATTTAAAATAACTACCTAGACAATAACACTTTTAATGCTGGGAACCCTAAAGATTATATGTTTTTAATAAGGAAATGATGGTTCCCTGGACCTTCCAAGAGTGCTAAAAATGCATAGGAAATGACCAAAAGTCTTGAAGCTGAAAGTTTCTAAATTGTCAATAAATAAGATTATCAGCTCATAATTTGAATCCACCCCGATGTGGAAAGCCTGAAACTTCTTTCCATTCTTGGTTTTATGAAATGCATCGTATATAAAAAGGGGGTAAACTGTACATAATAAGTTTTTATGATTTAACTATGGAATTTCTCCCTTGGGTTTATGTAGGAGGGCTCAGCTGCCATCTGATGGACTGTGGGAAAGGAACGGAAGCAAGAGCTCTGGGTTTATGGTCAGATTACCCCATTGATGGAATTAAAATCTGAGCTGACTCCTCAGAGATGGCTGACCTGCAGACAATGGAAATTTGTTAAAAGAACTGGATCCCTGGGGCTGTCCCTGAAGAATATATCTTACCTCTGCAATGTAGCCATTGTTATTCCTTTGTGGTGCCTTTAAGGACTAACCACAGCCACTCCCCCAGCCACTTCTGACCTCCCTGGTCGCCATCTTCCCTTCTCTCTCTTTGTTTTGTCTCTTGGTGTGTGTACATGTGTCTCTGTCTCTCTCTCTCTATGTCTGTCTCCATGTCTCTCTGTCTCCCTCTTTTTAAGTAATAAATGTCTCCCTCTTCTTTAAGTAATAAATATTCAGCTTCATGTATAGCCTTATGTCCATTTACTCTGTCGTCTACCGCATCCAGCCACCTGACTCTACCGCTTACCTGGGGAACCTGCACTGCTCTGGCAGCAGCTTCTGCCTGGCTCGCAGGCTGCTCGGGGCATCCCATCATATCTTTTTAAAGAACAATATCCATGATGCCTTTTCTTGGCTGTTTCTCTGCCACTCGGTTGAGCAGTTCTCTCCTTCCCTCCATGATGTCTCTGCCTTGCCCTGGACCTGAAAGTAATGGATCAAACCTACTGTAGACTGGAAACCTCTGAAACCCTGACCTGGAACTGCTAATGGCTGTCTACACACGCCTAGAGGCTGTCTACTAAATCAACAAGCCTCTGATAAGAGTGGTCAGGAATAAACATTATGTTCAGGTCTCCTTCCAGGAATGTTTGCAGACCACGTGGGCGCAGAAATTCTTGGAATTGCAATGCCAGGAAAACCCGTCTTATCTGTCAGTACCAGAAAAATTAGGGACCGTTGCAGCTGATTGGCACAATTTAATTTTGACATGGGAAGGTTTTATCACTGCAGATAGTATTAGTTTGAAAATAAGACTATTAAATAAAGAAAAGATCAAATTAGAAAGCAGTAGTCAAGTTTCCAATAAAAAAGAAGAAAACATATATCCAGAATCCAAAAATATACTTTGGAGGACATGGGGTCTGCTAGCAGTTTTACTAAAACACAAGTGGAAATAGAAACGGTGTCTTCAACTATGAAGGAAATTTGTGACCTAGGAAATCACTGTGATTAGGAAGCAAATAAGCGATCCTTTTTGTCTCTCAGCATGTAGAGCTAGGGCATCTTGGAGATGACGACTTCATCCTCATCCATTTGTCCTTGTCCACTGGGCTGCTCGGATCTTCAGTGAACAGGGACAGCGAGGTGCTCCTGAAAAACATACCACTCAAAAGGGACACCAAGCCCTGAAACTCCCCACAATCCCTGGCCTCTGGCAGCCTCTGGACTCTGGAACATAGCCTTCTCCCCTGACCTTCAGATGGACAGTCCCCTGGGTATGTCCTGGTGCCGTTCTTCAGATCCAGAGTCTTTGATCTGGGACAGTCCCAGGGGCATTGTACTCCTGCCTGTCTGTGATTCGTCCCCTCAGAGTCATGGAATAAATGTAATTTGTAGAAAGACTGAGGGACATAATTTTTTTAAATTTGTGCAAACAGTCTAGAGATATGTGTGTGTGTGTGTGTGTGTGTGTGTGTGTGTGTGCATGCGTGTGTGTGAGTGGTGCTTTCCAGACAATCTTTTTAAGTGTTGAATCATAGCCCCACTCCTAAACTTAAACTTTTTAATGAGAAGTCAGCTTTCTATTTATGACTAATGCTTAAAATCCAATAAAATCAACTGTCCCTGTTTATGTGAGGAAGATGTGACAGGTCAGACTCAGCATTGTAGACTGCGTACATTCTATGGGCTGTGGATAATGTGACCATAAATAAACAATAGACATTAAACGTAACTACTATGAAAAGGGGCTCGATAATGTTAATGAGACATTTTTAAAAAATAGAGACAGCAGAATAATTTTATGTTTGGTAAATTTGAGCCTTTTAATAAAGTAAACAATTTTCTAGAAAAACATGGGCTGCTTTTATTAAATCAATGTTATATGTCTAAATCTTATTTTATTAACAAGGAAAATGTGACAAAATTTCACTTGGTAAATTATGAAAACCCTCTAGTTTGTGACTTTCTCTGGGAGGACAAGAACAAATGTTACTGATCTCAGGTAGGGCACTGGTGGTGAAGCAAGTAAAGGATCCACTCAATTCTTGGTTGGTGAAGCGATGAGATCTTTGGGGCTGCCAACAGGAGCAGGAGCATGGATGGATCAAAGGGAACTGATCACTGAAAAGCTATCTAGCATCAGTGAGAACTTAAGAAAATCAGCAAAGAACCATAAACAACCTGGAGGCAGCCCCGCCATAGTCTCTCTTAACCAACAATTGTTTACTTAGAAAACCATGGTGGAGTGAGGAAGTATTTCGTTCTTACAAGTTTCTTGAATCTTTTAAGATCTTTTAAAAAATTCTTCCTGAATACTAGAGTGAACATACCAATCTAGAGAAAACAGCCACAGAACCTTCCACCCTTTCCTCTTGATTCTTACTCCATTCCTTCTTCCATTCCTCTCTTCTTTCAAATTTTCTGAGTTTTTGAGGAGGTGATAAAGATATGTTATCATTTTCTTACATTTATGCCTGAGCATTGGGTCTGTATATCATCGCTACATCCTTTTATTCTCAGCAGACAATTGCCAGAATATGAGTCTCCATAGTAACCACTGCCTCCTGCCAAAACGAATTTTTCCATAACCCAGACTGACAGTTGCAATAATCTAAGGCATAAACACAACAGCTTTAGAAGGCAATTGTTTGATAGTCACATCACATTCATTTAACAGACAATAACAGTGACCTCCGCACTGATTAAATCCCAGTTATAGGTCTTTTCCCAGGCTTATCTTAGAAACATGAGTTCCCTCCTTGGGTTAAAGCTTTTCATTTATTCAGAAAGCAGTTGGTTACACCCACAACTATGCCACTACTTGGGTGGAATGTTTGTAATGTAGCACACATTATTCATAACTGAGCAGGGCTATTGGTGACAATTCTCCCATGGAGCTTACACAATGCCTGCTAGCACTACAAAAGCCATCCAGCTGGGAGGAACTTCTTGCTTAATCAGTCCAAACCTGATTTCTTCATGTCCTACTATCAAATTCAGTGTCTTTAGAAAGTACACTTCACCTTCTGGCTCTGGCATGCAAACAGCAGCATTGGCAAGATACCCTGTGGTTTGAGAACTCTTAAGAGGTCACCATGGCCAACAATTATTTAAAAAGCAACCTACTCCAAGCACTAGAATTTTCCAGAAACCATGTGGGTCTTGATACTGCCTTCTATACCCATGCAGGGTGATTTCATTTAAAAGTTTGATTTTTGTTTTTATCATTCTTCCAGCTGTTATTCCATAGCTGTAAGACACCCTGTGGTTAGCAC